TTTAATTCAATTAATTTCATTATACATTAACTTGTATCTTAACTAAGTTAAATTTTTAAGGTTATTAACTTTAACTTAACTTAGTTAAAAAAAAAAAGTAACTTACCCAACCCTGCATAGTACACATTACGACGAATCAAGAAAAACTAATAACACTATGGGGATGGTGACTGCCACTTATAGCCGTTAGGAGCACTAGTGTACTTGGGGACATGTCAATTTGCGTCTTTATGAAACATAATAAAAAGATTAATATTTTAATTTTAACATGCCGGGCATGTGTGTGGCATACGGATGTAAAAATAGGGGAGGGCATCGGTTCCCAAAAGATGAGGGAATGAAAAAACGGTGGATCACAGCAATAAAACGTAAAGATTTCCGCCCGAGTACAGAGTCGCGTGTGTGCACAGATCATTTTAGACTCGAGGATTATGCTACTACTGACTTTGATTCAGGTGAATTTGTACTAAGATTACTAGGTATTAGCATTTTCGTTATTATTTCTTAACGTGGTTTGCGTATTAACCATAAATAATTAACAAAAACAACAGTTAACCTTTTGTAAAAGTTACTTAATCTGTCTACATTTACATTGTATCTTTTGGCAGGTCACACACTGATAAAACGAATTTTAAAGAAAGATGTAGTGCCATCCATATTTTCGTGGAAAAGAAAATTGGACATTTCACTTCAAGATGCTCGTTTGATGCGACAGAAGCAAAGGGAGCTGAAATTGAGTCAAAAGAGACTGATGGTTACAAGCTCCAATTGTAATTCATGTCCAACAGTTGAAACAAATACCGCGTTTATAGAACCTGTTCTCCTTTCGTCTAGTGAAGATATTAATCATTATTCATTAAATAAAATCTCCATCGGTTGTGAAATTGAAGTGACAGACTCAACCTGTAATGCAAATACCAGTCAAATCACTACAGAGAAAACAGTCTCTCTTAAAGTAAATACTGGATCATCTAAAAAAACTTTTGCTAATGCTGCCACTCAAACCTTCATGAAGATTACTTTTACCATAGAGAACCTTCGAAACAATTCGAAGAGTGTGTCTTATTATACGGGTTTTGAATCCTTAGAAAAATTAAAATTAGTTTTACATAGTTTGGGGCCATCAGCTTATGAATTGACATACCGATATGGTAATGTAGTAAATGTTGCTGTTGAGGATCAGTTTCTTATAACTCTCATTAAATTGAGGAGAGCCATATCCGATATAGGTTTAGCTTTGATGTTTGATGTTAGCAAAACGACAATTCAGAATATTGTTATTACATGGTTAAATTTTATGTATTGTGAGTGGTCTGAAATAGACATATGGCCTAATAAGGATCTCATTATGTATTACATGCCCTCAGGATTTAAACAGATGTATCCTTCAACTAGGGTAATACTAGATGGAACAGAATTTCCAATAAATGCTCCTAAAAATCCGAAATTTCAGCAAGCGACCTTTAGTACATACAAGAACAAAACCACATTGAAAGTATTGGTTAGCGCAACACCTGGTGGACTTATTTCTTATATTTCTTCAGCTTATGCGGGATCTGTAAGCGACAGAGCGATAGTTGAAAGAAGTAATCTTACTTAAGAAAACTGAGCCTGGTGATTCTATAATGGCTGATCGAGGATTTACAGTTCAAGATTTATTTGCTCCAATATATGTATCAATAAATATACCAGCTTTTCTCAAGGGTAAAACTCAGTTACCAGGCTTGACTCTTCTTAAAGATCGTAAACTTGCGAGTAAGAGAGTCCATATAGAGAGACTTAACGGCTTAACCAAAACTTATAAAATTTTAAAAACTGAACTCCCTGTTTACTTTGTACCCTTGGCAAGTGAAATTTTCTATGTACGCTGTATTCTTTGTAATTTTCGAGAAAATATTGTAAGTGCAGATGCCTAATGTTTCAGATAGTAAAGAAATTAAACCCAAAGTGTATGTAATACGATTTGTCTTTTTATTTTCTCTGACATCCAATGACACACTTGAACATCCAATCCAATATGAAAATAATCTGGATTAAAAGCAATCGTTGCTGGGAAATACACTATTAAACAATATGATTATAATATCACAGAGAACATTCTATGGAATTACGAGTACATAAAATATAAAACATTTCAATTTAGATAAAATAAAATGAACTACATAAATAATGCTTTCGTACGCATCTGATAACAAGTAATTAGAGTCTCTGTAGATACAGTATTGAAAACAAAACTAAAAATGCAACCTTGCAATTCTCTTTCTGACCTACATATTACATCACATTCATTCTTAGTTAAGAAGTGATTATTATTAACAGTAACTAGCTAAATTAATATTGTAATCTTCTTTGATTGACTCGTGTATAATAAATTGAAAGGATAGGAGCCCCAGTCGAGTCCAAACACCAGTTAAAGTTGTGTATTATATTCTTTTTTATTATTTTACTATGTCCATACGTTTCGATCCTTGAATTGGATCCTTATCAATGGTAAATTTAAAATATATATCATCATTCTTCCTAGAACACTAAAAATTATTTTCTATCTCATTATCTTTATCGTCAATCCAAGCAAAAATAAAAGAGAACGCAATTCCCTATTCATAATACATACCGGTTCTTCTGATAAAAACTTTTACAAAATATATCTATATTAATTATAATTAACATGTCACTGTACATATATTGCAAAGTATTAAACGTTATTCAAGTAATGTAAGATTAAAATACTCTACATCTATCCTGACTTAATATATCCTGACTTAATATAGCTTATCAACATGATAAAAACTTACATGGTATATTTTTATTAAGTATATTTAACATGTTACTATACATGTCGAGCGGCAGCAAACAAGTGTTGATCCGTTTCTGTTAACAATGACACTGTCATAACTAATGTACGTGTCGATCGAATGTACATATATTTATTATTTATAGAGATGGAAACCTAAATCTTATCTAATAAACAGTCATAAGCCGTGTTCAATTTCTCTGTGTCCGTCTGTAGATTCAAACTATTGTTTTGTTTACGAATATGTATCATTTCTGAAATAAGTCGTTTATTAAACGTAATTTCTTCGTCTAAAATTTTTGTCTTCCCAATTAAAATCATGCGAGTATTCTAATCTATGTTGTGTAATAACCGATTTTTGTCTCCATAAATTTTTCCAAAAAGAACATAAATTAATGATAAAGAAACATGAATGGCTAATAAAAATTAATGAAAAAGAAACATAATTATGATAATATTAAAAAAATAAAACCTATTGAGTATATATGTAGTAAATATACTTTTATTAACGAAAATAAAGATATAAAATACAATAATATCATACAAAGATGGGAAGACTATAGTAATATTAATTCGAATAATAAATTTAAAATACATATTAACCCAATGGATTACGTAAATTGCAAATATGATTTAGATAGACTAGATAACAAATGGTTTGTTAATCTCACGAACACTTATATACCGGACTTTGCGCATGCAATTTTACAATTAGGAGAGAATTTTTGTTTACCTACTACAAATATAAAAAGGATTACGATTGAAATGATAAAGAACCTAGAAAATAATTTTAGAAAGATTAGGGATATTAATGTATCAGAAATAAGAAATAATTTCATTTCATACATAAATAATTTAAATTTAAAAAAAACACAATAGAAAAAAAGATATCCAACATGTTCCACTTAACAAAAAAATTTATTTTGGATCACCCTAACATAATATACACCCATGCAGATAAAGGGAACATAGTAGTAGCAATGGAGAAAATGGATTACATAAATAAAATGATTTCTATATTAAATGATACCACAACATATGTGACAGTCAATCGTAATCCGATAAACAAAATTATCTCTAATCTCAAAGATATGTTAAAGAGATGGAAATCTAAAGGTTTTATTAACGACAACAAATATAATTGGCTTAATAGCACCAATCCGATCTTACCGAGAGTATATGGGGTTCCTAAGGTCCATAAGATAAATAATCCGTTACGTATAATTGTATCATCGACGGGAAGTCTATTACACAATTTAGACATATTTACATGAAATCATTAATGATAGTCTGACTACTAATACATATACGGTAAAAAACAGTTTTGAAATTACTAAGAACGCACATTTGTTGAAAATAAAAAAGAAAGATCAATTATATTCGTTAGACGTAGTATCTTTATATACGAACATACCAATAGAATTAGCGATTCAAGGTATCAATGATAGATGGAATGAGATCAAAAAGAAAACGGATATCAATAAAAAAGAATTTATCATAGCGATAAAATTAATATTAGAATCCACATATTTTACCTTTAATGAAACTTATTATCGTCAATCTTTTGGAATTCCAATGGGGTCACCGTTATCACCCATAATATCAAATATAGTATTACATGATTTAGAGACAAAATGTTTAAATAGTTTGTTAATTAAGTCGAGTTTTTATATGAGATACATGGACGACGTGGCTCTAGCGACTAATATAGATAATATAAATAACATCTTGAGGGAGTTTAATGGTTACCATCATCGTTTACAATTTACGTTGGAAGAGGGTGGTAGCAGGTTGAACTTTTTGGATGTTACATTAATCAAAAACAACAATGACGAAATTTTGTATGACTGGTATTAGAAACCTACGTCATCAGGTAGATTTCTTAATTTCTTCTCACAACATCCGTTGACTCAAAAGATTGGGGTAATTTACAGCTTGATAGATA